CATAGATCTCATCCTTGTCGTTCATCGCTATCAAGTTCATCTCATAGAAACCGTCACTGAAATAACCATCCGCATACTTCTCCCACTCAGGACCAAACACTGTAACCTCACCTGTGTCATAAAATATCCTGCACCCCAAGTCATCAAGCTGTGACTGACTGACCAAGTTCACCTCTCTATACGGACTCTGCAGCACCACCTCACCCTCTCCTGTCACTGGTAACTTCCCACTGTTACCTTGTAGTATATAATCCTCACTCGACTCCCTCACATTCTCCATCCAATCTGACCTGAATGTCATGTGACGCGTGCATCCGCTGTCCATGAACCACGCCCTCTTCTCACGTCCATCTGTCTGAGCCTCCTTCGGTAAACGCACCACGTTCGCGAGATGCGCTCCTCCCAAAATCACATCCTCCTTTTCAGCTTCCACTACATTCGCCTTTGTCGCCACATTCCTCTGCTGCGACGGACCCTTGTAGCTCATGCTGTTTGGATTGGAGTAGCACTCTGCGGCACGATGCCCGTAGCGCCCACAATAATCACACTTGCCGCCAAAACCTCGTTTCTGCTGCCACTCCGCTCCTGCATTTTCTCCTTTCTCGTTCTCCATCGCTTTGCCCTTATAGTTTCTGCTTCGAGGATTTTCGTAGCATTTTATCGCCTTATGACCGCGCTTTCCACACTGGTAGCACGCTCCAAACGCTTTCGCCGCATTCACCAAAGCCGACCTGTCCTCGTCGAATTCTGTAACTGCTGTTGCTGCTTTCTTTTTCCTCATCTCCTTCACCGTCTCAAGCGACTGTAGAATCTCCTGCAGCTTCATCAAACTCTCCGGCGGTTGGTACGTAAACATGCCGATGTCGGATTCGTACTCCTTAGGAAGGCCTTGGATGATATAGTCAATCATCTCATGCTCCGTCTCCGCGGCTCCCATCACCCGCAAGTCGTCGTTATAGCTTTTCGCCCTGTTGATGTAGGTGATGATTTTCTCGCCTTTCTCCATGCTCGGCATCAGCAGCTGCTTCCGAATCGCCTTCTTGTTGACGTCGTTGGTGCCCATGTACGTGGACTCCAGGTACTCCCACGCTCGCTGTGCAGAGTTCAGCTCCCCTGCAAACTGGTCCAAATCCACTGCGATTCCATCGGCAACTGAGTGACAAAGCTGAAAGAAAGCTTGCTTACTTTGCTTTTTAAACGCCGCTATTTTCTCCTTCGTGTCCGTCGTGGAAGGCGCAACTCCCTCCATCGTCTCCTCGTCGGGACGGCAGTACGGCAAGAGGTCGACCTCCTCTGCCCTTCGAATGAACTTCTTCCGCCACACGTTGTAGTTGCTCCCGTTGAAGCGCTGGGCTTCGCTGAGCCCGATCGTCGGTTTCGCCACCAATCGGCCACTCGCAAGGGCCTCGAGAAGAGCCTTCAACTGTGGGTCTCCAAGACTCACACTGGAACACGAACTCGCCTCGTCTCCCATAGCGTAGGCGTGAACGACTCCTCTTCTCCACTAATTTCACTTAGCGCACCAAGTGAATTCACGACGATCGACGCGCTCGTTCGCCAAGCTCTGATACCAGTTCTTAGGATCGTAAACGCATTAGTCGGCAATAGTCTACTTGCTATCGCCTATCGTGTTCTCCACGATCTCCCGAATCCAATGATATGCGCAGCTCTGCTTGAAGTTGTCAATACACACTTCAGCAATTTTCAGAATCTCAATGTTCTTAATGTTGTCCAATGTTATGATTTCCAGAATGAGCACAAGCAGTTATATAGTCATGCAAGACACAAAATGCGATTCATAACTTCACTTGTTTCCCAAGTAACCGCGTGCGCCTCGTTTCACCCCGAGTCGCAGACGCAACCGAACCGAATTCGGTGAACACTCCTCAAGACCGAATCTGGAACCTTCTCGAACACGCCTCGAGCTCGAACCACAATTTCCCCTCGCCAACTTCAATCTCGATGTTTCTTCTTCTCTCTCCCTCCTTCTAGCACATTTCTTCTTGATTTCTCTCCCGCTTCTCACGTCGTAGCCTCTATTCCACACCGTAGGCCGATTTCCACCGTTTCACACACGCGCTTCCATTTCGCCGTCATTCCGCCGTCGTAGATGCTTTCGCCTTAGGTTCCGTGGTTGGGCGAACCAACCCTAACAATCTCCCCTGTGGTTCGTCAACCACGAACTCCACTCGCACTCCTCCCCTGCTCCTTGTAGCCTTCGCAGGGTCTAAGTCGGCTTCACGCTCCCCTGCAGCTCCTGCACCTTGAACCTCTGCTTACGTATCTTGAAGTTGAGCGCCTTGACATCCAAACCATGAAACATTTTCTTGAGCCTCTCGCTGCTCCTCGGCATCTCAACACTCAACACCTCTCGGGTCTCATACCCTTCAACGCGTTCATCCTCCCTAAGCACTTGCCCCTTTGCAGTTGCATTCGCCTTTGATCCTTTCACCATGATGTCCCCTTTCACAGCTTCAACTCCCACACACTTCGCATTTACTGCTTCGTCTTCAACCACGATCGCTGCTGCAAAAGTGTTGACATCATCTCCATCTCTACCATTCACTGTTGCTGCCTCCATGGCGACTATCTCCTCTTCCTGCTTCTCTGCTGCCTCCACACTCGCTCCCGTATCATCCGTGTCCTTGCTCTTATCATCCTCAGTAGGCTCAGGATCCTCATAGATCTCATCCTTGTCGTTCATCGCTATCAAGTTCATCTCATAGAAACCGTCACTGAAATAACCATCCGCATACTTCTCCCACTCAGGACCAAACACTGTAACCTCACCTGTGTCATAAAATATCCTGCACCCCAAGTCATCAAGCTGTGACTGACTGACCAAGTTCACCTCTCTATACGGACTCTGCAGCACCACCTCACCCTCTCCTGTCACTGGTAACTTCCCACTGTTACCTTGTAGTATATAATCCTCACTCGACTCCCTCACATTCTCCATCCAATCTGACCTGAATGTCATGTGACGCGTGCATCCGCTGTCCATGAACCACGCCCTCTTCTCACGTCCATCTGTCTGAGCCTCCTTCGGTAAACGCACCACGTTCGCGAGATGCGCTCCTCCCAAAATCACATCCTCCTTTTCAGCTTCCACTACATTCGCCTTTGTCGCCACATTCCTCTGCTGCGACGGACCCTTGTAGCTCATGCTGTTTGGATTGGAGTAGCACTCTGCGGCACGATGCCCGTAGCGCCCACAATAATCACACTTGCCGCCAAAACCTCGTTTCTGCTGCCACTCCGCTCCTGCATTTTCTCCTTTCTCGTTCTCCATCGCTTTGCCCTTATAGTTTCTGCTTCGAGGATTTTCGTAGCAGTTTATCGCCTTATGACCGCGCTTTCCACACTGGTAGCACGCTCCAAACGCTTTCGCCGCATTCACCAAAGCCGGCCTGTCCTCGTCGAATTCTGTAACTGCTGTTGCTGCTTTCTTTTTCCTCATCTCCTTCACCGTCTCAAGCGACTGTAGAATCTCCTGCAGCTTCATCAAACTCTCCGGCGGTTGGTACGTAAACATGCCGATGTCGGATTCGTACTCCTTAGGAAGGCCTTGGATGATATAGTCAATCATCTCATGCTCCGTCTCCGCGGCTCCCATCACCCGCAAGTCGTCGTTATAGCTTTTCGCCCTGTTGATGTAGGTGATGATTTTCTCGCCTTTCTCCATGCTCGGCATCAGCAGCTGCTTCCGAATCGCCTTCTTGTTGACGTCGTTGGTGCCCATGTACGTGGACTCCAGGTACTCCCACGCTCGCTGTGCAGAGTTCAGCTCCCCTGCAAACTGGTCCAAATCCACTGCGATTCCATCGGCAACTGAGTGACAAAGCTGAAAGAAAGCTTGCTTACTTTGCTTTTTAAACGCCGCTATTTTCTCCTTCGTGTCCGTCGTGGAAGGCGCAACTCCCTCCATCGTCTCCTCGTCGGGACGGCAGTACGGCAAGAGGTCCACCTCCTCTGCCCTTCGAATGAACTTCTTCCGCCACACGTTGTAGTTGCTCCCGTTGAAGCGCTGGGCTTCGCTGAGCCCGATCGTCGGTTTCGCCACCAATCAGCCACTCGCAAGGGCCTCGAGAAGAGCCTTCAACTGTGGGTCTCCAAGACTCACACTGGAACCCGAACTCGCCTCGTCTCCCATAGCGTAGGCGTGAACGACTCCTCTTCTCCACTAATTTCACTTAGCGCACCAAGTGAATTCACGACGATCGACGCGCTCGTTCGCCAAGCTCTGATACCAGTTCTTAGGATCGTAAACGCATTAGTCGGCAATAGTCTACTTGCTATCGCCTATCGTGTTCTCCACGATCTCCCGAATCCAATGATATGCGCAGCTCTGCTTGAAGTTGTCAATACACACTTCAGCAATTTTCAGAATCTCAATGTTCTCAATGTTGATAGCGGAGAGGCAGAGGGCGGCATGAGATTCCTATTATGCCCGTATGCCTATTTTCCCTCTCGCAACCCCTCTCCTTCATCCCACCACACAGGACCTGCGCCAGGAACTGACAGGCATGCGGCAGCAGCTGATAGCGGAGAGGCAGAGGGCGGCAACGGCTACTGGAGGCAAGGAGGCTGTTGAGAAGCAGCTGGCAGCGGTGCAGGCAAAGCTGAAGGTGGGTGGGGCAAGGGGGAGGGGGAAGCTCTGAGTGAAGAATGATTGGTGGTAGGTGCATTTGAAAAGTGGGTGGAGAGTAGGCAAGGCGAGTCTGCGTTTCCTTTCTTTTGTTTTTTGCTTGTAAACTGCTTTCATGGTGTTCCTTTTTTTCTTCTTCTTCTTCTTCTTCTTCTTCTTCTTCTTCTTCTTATTTTTCTTCTTCTTCTAACTTCAGGAGGCATTGGAAGTAGAGGAGAGGCTCAAGATCCATGCCAAGGTGGAGGTTTGACAAGAGGTGGAAGGGGACCTCAGGTCCGACATCGAGGCTGAGGTTCAGCAGAAGCTGGAAGCGGAGGTTCGGGAAGCAGCTGAGGCTGAGACTCGGAAGAAAATGGAATCCGAGGTTCGGCAGGACGTCGAGGGGAAGGTTCGGAAAGAGCTTGAAACGGAGGTTCGGGAGAAGTTGAAGGCAGAGGTTCGGGAGGAGCTAGGAGCAGAAGCTGGGAGAAATGCTGTGGAGGTCTTAAAGCCCAGCAGTCAAGGATCGGTGGGATCGGTAGATGTGGGAACTCAAGTGATATCTGTGAGCGAGGAGGCTCGGAAAGAGATTGAAGCAGCCGCTGTAGCTCGGATGCGACAGGAAATGGAAGAAGAGATTCGGAAGGAGCTTCGGAACGAGTTTGAGAAGCAGATTTGGGAAGAGGTGACTGAGAAGGTTCGGGAGGAGGTGCGGAAGGAGGTAGAATTGGAGTTGAAAAAGTCTAAGGGCGATTCTGAGGGTGCTTCGATTGCTGCTGCTGCTGGTGGAGCTGGTGGTGGAGTTACGGTTGAGAGTGGTGGAGAGGGTGTAGGGGACAATGAGAGAACGGAGGTGGAGGGTAAAGGTGAAGATGTGGGAGGTGGAGGAGAAAGAGAAGGAGCAGGAGCAGGGGCAGGAGAAGGGGCAGGAGCAGGGATCGGAGAAGGGGTGGGAGCAGGGGCAGGAGCAGGGGGGGGAGAATTGGCGGGAGCAGGGGGAGGAGAGGCAAGTGAAGCAGTGGGGCAGTCTACTGAAGAGCTTGCACGATTGAAGGTAATTTGCCATTCCTTTCTTCCCCGCTCTAATGGCTGCCTGGTTCTTATTACGCTCGCACGCATGCAATGGGACGAGTTCTGAGTCTTCGTTTTGGACTCTCTCAAGAGTTTTGCTTGGGCGCATTCAGACTCAGCTTGTCTGCTGGGTTCTCAGGTCATAGAAAAGCTCTACATGCGGAGTGAAACTTTTGGATTTCAAGAAAAAATACAATTCCGGAAGTCATTTCTGCATCTCACCGCTGGAGTACGGGGGGAGAGAGCAGAGGCGAAGTCGGAGGCTTTAATGCAGGACCAAGCTAAGGCTTAAGGTTCCGCTTCTGCCTTTTTCTGCTTCTGCTTCTGCTGCACCCATGGCCATGGCAGGAGGACGCGGAGAAAGCAGAGGAGGAGCGGGGTCAGCTGCAGCAGCAGTTGGAGAAGCTACAGGTGTCGCTGGCTAAGAAGGAGAAGGCACGGCTGAGACTGCTGTCTGAGGTGAGTGCTCCTTCAGGCAAGGTGTGTCATGCAGTTGAGTTATGCAGCAGCAGCAGTTGGAGAAGCTGCAGGTGTCTCGGCTCGGGCTAAGGAGAAGGCACTGTTGAGACAGCTGTCTGAGGGTAACGATTGAGACTGCTGGCTGTCTGAAATGTGTGCTCCTCTAACCGAGGGGATGTTTTAGTTGACACAGCAATAGAGACGGTGACCTAAGCTGGCTGCAGCAGTTTGTGAAGCTGCTGGATGCTTGCAGAGGCCCAGCATCGCTTTTTCCAATCACATTCTGTACTCATCGCTTCCTGGATTGTACTATTTATATCACAACCATCCCATTCCTGCCGTCCGTCCACGAACGCCCTTCAGGTGGATTCCCAGTCGCTGCAGATAGAAAGACTATTCGCGGAGAATTCAGGGCTGGCAGCGGGGCTCAAGGAGGTCTCTGCCATTGCCGCCCGCTGGGAGGCTCAGGTGAATGCAACAAGGCACTCAGGTGGGAACAACAGAGGCTCAGGCTGGGGCAATAGAGACTCAGGTGGGGACAACAGAGGCTCAAGCAGGGGCATTAGAGACTCAGGTGGGGACAACAGAGGCTCAGGTGAGTGCAGCAGTAGCTTAGGTGGTGAGTGCAACAGAAACTCAATCTCAGGTCTGTGAAAGTAGCAAATTGAACAAGTAGCTTCATTAGAGGAGAAACCTAGCATACATGGTTGGAAGAGAGGCTTGGAAGAGAAAGGTGAAGGTGACCATAGGTTGGGTTGACCTCACTTGGGGGAGTGAGGCAACCATGGGTCAAGTGGGTTGGGTTGCCCACAGTTTGTAGAAGTGAGGCAACCCTAGGCCCACTTGGCTTGAGATGACCTCACTTGTGGGAAGTGAGGCACCCATAAGCCAAGTGGGTTGCATTTGGGGGCTCCACCACAATTGGGTGGATTGGCACCCCAAAGTGCAACCCTAAACCCTAAACCCAGCTGTACACCACAATTGGTGTACAGTCACATGTGTTGGCATGCTACACAACATATATTTTAACAAGGTCCGTGCAGCAGAGGCTAATAAAAAAAAAAAAAAAAAAAAAAAAAAAAAAAAAAAAAAAAAAAAAAAAAAAGGGTGGTGAGAGCAACTGGGGCTCTGGTATAATGCAACAGAGCGCAACAAAGAAGACTTGTCGTTTTTCTTTTCACTGACCACCTCTGCCAGTCAAGCCATAATAGACTGCGACTTTGCCATGACGTTTTCCCTGCTGTTTTATTGGTGTTTTACCCAACTGGTTTGTGGTGTATCCATACTTTCTTCGTTTACCCACTTTTGTTACGTCCTTTATTTCCAACATATTGCGCCCGTCGTCCCTTTTCTTCCTCCACGTTTTATATTTATAAATATGTGCATAATTCGAAAGACCATAGAGTTTAAGTGTTTGTCAACCCAAAAACTCGCTGCGAAAGTTGCAGTTTGTTTTTTTATTCCGAGAAACTCACTAAGACTTTTCAAAAACACACTAAGAAACATCAGAAGCGCACTAATATTTCTCAAGAGAACAATAAGAATTCTAAAAAACACCTCGTAAGCCCATGTAGATTACTACCAGTCAACCCAAAAGCTCGTTGCGACAGTTTTCCCCTTGTCCTTTCCTTCCGCTTCCGCTTTCAGGTGCGCGCATGGCAGAAGCTGCAGAGCGAGCAGCAGCAGGAGCAGATGGACAGCGGCAAAGGGGCAGCAACAGCAGCAGGTGCAGCAGCAGGAGCAGGAGCAGCAGCAGGAGCAGGAGCAGCAGCAGGAGCAGCCTCATCAGCAGAAAAGGCAGGAGCAACAGGGGAGTTATCAGGAGAAGAGAAAGGAGGGGTGGGAGGAACAGGAGCAGCAGCAGGAGGAGTAAGAGCATCAGGGGCGGTGGGTCCGGGGTTAGGAGACACGGACACAGAGGCAGACACGGATGATCAAGAGCTGCCAGTCTCCACCTCCCCCAGACAGCACCTGGAGCTGCCACCAGTAAACACCTCCCCCAGGCAACTTCTGGAAGTGCCACCGTTTTCTGGTGCTGGGACCTCAGCAAGTGGGGAAGAGAATGGGGAGGTGGTGGTGGGTCTGCAGGGGGATGGCGTGAAGATGGAGGGGTCAGGAGCGGTGGAAGGTGGTGGAGAGGAAAGGGCAGGGAAGGAGGATGGGGAGAAGGAGGAGGTCGGGGATGGGGCTAGAGGTGGGGAGGATGGGGGAGTGGGACAGAGGAGGGGAGTGGGTGTGGAGGTGATTGGAGGGAAGTCTATGGAAGTTCTGGAGGAAGAGAACAGGAAGCTTAAGGTGAGACAAGGGAAAGTTAAATAAGCGTTCGGAAAATTGCCTGTTGAAATGAACAAAGTGCCACGCAATGGAAGTTTTGGAGGAAGAGAACAGGAAGCTTAAGGTGAGACAAGGGAGGTCGAGTAAGCGTTTGACTAAGTGTTTTCAAAATGAGCTAAGTGTTTAGCTCGATGGAGGTGCTAGTGGAAGCCAACAAGAAGCTCAAGGTGAGAAAAGCGGAACTTACTTAAGTGTTTCAATCAGCTATTTCTCTGGGAGTTTTGAAGGTGCTGATTGAAGAGAGCTTGGAGCTCAAGGTCCTAGGCAGTGATAGTGGAGATTGGTAATTACCTTGATACCATCTTTGTACCATAATGATACCACTATGGTCTCACGCTTTTCCTTCCATCCCTTGCTCTTCTCACGCTTTTCCTTCCATCCTTTGCTCTTCTCACGCTTTTCCTTCCATCCCTTGCTCTTCTCACGCTTTTCCTTCCATCCCTTGCTCTTCTCACGCTTTTCCTTCCATCCCTTGCTCTTCTCACGCTTTTCCTTCCATCCCTTGCTCTTCTCACGCTTTTCCTTCCATCCCTTGCTCTTCTCACGCTTTTCCTTCCATCCCTTGCTCTTCTCACGCTTTTCCTTCCATCCCTTGCTCTTCTCACGCTTTTCCTTCCATCCTTTGCTCTTCTCACGCTTTTCCTTCCATCCCTTGCTCTTCTCACGCTTTTCCTTCCATCCCTTGCTCTTCTCACGCTTTTCCTTCCATCCCTTGCTCTTCTCACGCTTTTCCTTCCATCCCTTGCTCTTCTCACGCTTTTCCTTCCATCCCTTGCTCTTCTCACGCTTTTCCTTCCATCCCTTGCTCTTCTCACGCTTTTCCTTCCATCCCTTGCTCTTCTCACGCTTTTCCTTCCATCCCTTGCTCTTCTCACGCTTTTCCTTCCATCCTTTGCTCTTCTCACGCTTTTCCTTCCATCCCTTGCTCTTCTCACGCTTTTCCTTCCATCCCTTGCTCTTCTCACGCTTTTCCTTCCATCCCTTGCTCTTCTCACGCTTTTCCTTCCATCCCTTGCTCTTCTCACGCTTTTCCTTCCATCCCTTGCTCTTCTCACGCTTTTCCTTCTATCCCTTGCTCTTCTCACGCTTTTCCTTCCATCCCTTGCGCTTCTCACGCTTTTCCTTCCATCCCTTGCTCTTCTCACGCTTTTCCTTCCATCCTTTGCTCTTCTCACGCTTTTCCTTCCATCCCTTGCTCTTCTCACGCTTTTCCTTCCATCCCTTGCTCTTCTCACGCTTTTCCTTCCATCCCTTGCTCTTCTCACGCTTTTCCTTCCATCCCTTGCTCTTCTCACGCTTTTCCTTCCATCCCTTGCTCTTCTCACGCTTTTCCTTCCATCCCTTGCTCTTCTCACGCTTTTCCTTCCATCCCTTGCTCTTCTCACGCTTTTCCTTCCATCCCTTGCTCTTCTCACGCTTTTCCTTCCATCCCTTGCTCTTCTCACGCTTTTCCTTCTATCCCTTGCTCTTCTCACGCTTTTCCTTCCATCCCTTGCGCTTCTCACGCTTTTCCTTCCATCCCTTGCTCTTCTCACGCTTTTCCTTCCATCCTTTGCTCTTCTCACGCTTTTCCTTCCATCCCTTGCTCTTCTCACGCTTTTCCTTCCATCCCTTGCTCTTCTCACGCTTTTCCTTCCATCCCTTGCTCTTCTCACGCTTTTCCTTCCATCCCTTGCTCTTCTCACGCTTTTCCTTCCATCCCTTGCTCTTCTCACGCTTTTCCTTCCATCCCTTGCTACCCTTTTCCACCCTCACAGCCACCTATCTCTGCTCCTGTCTACCCGTCTCTACCCCTCTCTGAACCTCACTGCCCCTCTCTGCCCCTCTCTGCCCCTCTCTGAACCTCACTGCCCCTCTCTGCCCCTCTCTGCCCCTCTCTGAACCTCACTGCCCCTCTCTGCCCCTCTCTGCCCCTCTCTGCCCCTCTCTGCCCCTCTCTGAACCTCACTGCCCCTCTCTGCCCCTCTCTGCCCCTCTCTGCCCCTCTCTGCCCCTCTCTGCCCCTCTCTACAACAGGACGAACTCACCGCCGCCCAGCACCGCATCCGCCGGCTGTCAGTGCAGGCACTGCGCTCCGATGCCAGTTGCACCACGGCGGTGCAGAGGCTGTCCCAGACCAAGCGGATGTGAGTAGTGGCAGTGTGCTGTGCTGGTAGGGGTAGGGCAAATTTTTCAGTAGAGAGGTGGTAGTGTAGTGGTGGTAGTAGTTACGGGAAGAAGGGAGCAGAGGCACTGCGCTGCAGTGGTGCTGCACTGCCTGTCACCCAGCTGTCAGTGCACGCGCTGCGCTCCGATGCTGGCTGCACCACGGCTGCGCAGAGGCTGTCCCAGACCAATCGATTGTGTGGAGGTGTGCTGTGCTGTGCTGCTGCTGCAGGTGGTTGCTCTGCTAGTGGTGGCAGTGATGGTAGTAAGAAGGTGGATCCACTGATGCTGCCCTCCAGTGCCAGCTGCACCACGGCCGTGCAAGCTGGTGAGCACTGTGGGAGGCTCTCTCCCAGGCCAAGCGTCTGCGAGTGGTCCCAAGGCCTTGTCCTTCCATCCTACTGTTATTCCCTTTTGAGAATTCCTCGAAACAAACCCAACTCCCAACCCGTGGCACTACTTTCGCTTCTTCACCACCACACGCTCTCGCCTTGCTTCCTCCTGCCCTGCCTTACTTCCGTTCTTCCTCCATCCTTTTGTTGCTCCTTAGAAGATTCCGGGAAAGCTGGGCTCATTTTGACAAGTTTGCACCATTTTGTGTATGGGTTTCTTTCAGGTATGGCCCTCTGTTGAGCAGCATCGAGCAGAAGCTTCTCCAGTACAAGCAGGAAGCTTCCCTGCAAGGTCATGTGTGAAGCACCCTTACCCAGTAAACTACGTCAGCTACAGCATACTGGTAACTTCCCATAAAAAACACAGTCACTTTATCCCCATTCACTACTAAAACTCTCGTCTAATTTTCTTCCAAAAACAGTGATGATTTCTCAAGCCTTGCAATTCTTCCTCCATGCCAAGCCATGCTGCCCCGCTCCGAGTCTGTCCAGCAATGGTAGCTGCCGAAACCAATCCACGTCACTTAGGACCTGCCACGTCATCACAGCGCCACATCATCACATCGCACCAACCACAGTGATTTTCTGGTTATTTGGCAGTGGCCAATACCCAAGGTGAATATTTTAGACAAGCAGTTTATCTCTCCAAGAACCCCTAATTTGGCACTGGTAAATCGACAGGGGACGCCGGGATGAGGAGAGGGGGGGGACGAAAAGGGAGAGGGGGGAAACTGAATGCAGGGACGAAACGAAACAGGAGACCTAGAGGGAGGATGAGGTACCCCCCTGTCACAACCTCTTCAGTACGAGTTTGATGTTGCTGTGTCAAGTCAACCCACCTGCTGCAGCACTCGCATCTTTCCCTCCAGGCCGAGACAGCAGTTGGCATGAACAGTGACCAGCCGCCTCAGCAGCCGCCCAATCTGGCAGAAACTGCCAAAGCGGTCCGTCGGCAGGTAGTGGACGGAGAGACGGAGGGTGTCGCGGGTGTATGGGTCTGCCTCGGGGCGCACTCGCGTGAATGCATCCTGGACGTGAATGCCAGGAAAGCTGTAATGGGGGAGGGGAGTTGATTGAAGGGAGAATAACACAAGCAGTGGATAAAGAGACGGAGCGTGTCACGAGTGTATGGGTCTGCCTTGGGGCGCACTCGCGTGAATGCATCCTGGTCGTGAATGCCGGGGAAGCTGATAAGGGGTGGAAGGGGGAAGGGTGGAAGGCGGAAGGGTGGAAGGGGGAAGGGGGGAAGTGGGAAAAGGGGGATGGGGGGAAGCGTATAATGCATGGAGAGATGGGAGAGTATCACGGGTGTATGGGTCTGCTTCGGGGCGCACCCACATGAACGCATCCAAGAATCTCTTGTTTTGAGAATTCTAAAAAAAGATAGAACATTTTCTTATAGACTGTCTCAAAGATTCACTTCTTCAGGCCGCACCCGCATGAACGCATTCCTGGTCGTGAATCCCAGGGAAGGTGAACATTTTGAGACGTCTCAAAAACAACCTCGCTGCACGTGGCAATCCCAGGGAAGGTGAACATGGCTTACCGGGTGTGAGCGTTGAGCCAGTAGTCAAAGAATCGCAACACACGGTCGTTGCTGCGAGCCATGTAGAACCCGCCATTGGCTGCTGCTGCTGCTGCTGCTGCCTTGGGGTCCGAAAGAGGAGAAGGTAAAGGGCTTACAGGGTGGAGGAGAGGAGAGTCTTACCGGGTGTGTGCATCGAGCCAGTAGTCAAAGAATTGCAAAACGCGGTCGTTGCTGCGAGCCATGTAGAAGCCCCCATTGGCTGCTGCCGCCTTGGGGTCTGCTGACCAGCGATCGCATGCTATGAGCATGTCGGATGAGACGGGGAGCAGGTGAGGGAGGGGGTTCTGGTGGTAGGGGGGAGAAGGAAGGAAGTACAGAATCTACTAATACGACACCCCGTCTTCTGCTTTGGGTTCGTCTGACCAGCGACCACAGGCTATTAGGATGTTGGATAAGATGAGATGGGGAGCAGAGCAGAGCAGACAAAAGAGGTCAGCAGATAAGTGGTCAACCGAAAAGTGGTCACAGGCTGCTACGATCGACCGTGAAGTAGAAGTTGTTGTTTATATATATATATAAATATATATATATATATCTTATGTTGAGAGACATCTTAAGCGAATCTAATTGCACAAGGCGCTGGCAATTACATGCACAACTGCATCCACGTGGCGTCACTGCCACCCACCTGCATCCACATCACTGCCACCCACCTGCATCCACGTCACTGCCACCCACCTGCATCCACATGACGTCATTGCCACCCACCTGCATCCACGTCATTGCCACCCACCTGTAGCCACATGACGTCATTGTCAGTAAAGACCACATTGAGTTTTAAAGACAAGATTTGCTTGATGACATGCAGTCGTCTCCACTTCTGTACAGAGTGGGAAGGATAAAAACGAAGACACAATGAGAAGAGATGAGGAGAGATGCGGAGAGACTAGTAGAGATGAGTAGAGATGAGTAGAGATGAGTAGAGACAACGAGAGTATTTACAAGAACAGGGGGGAGTGGGTAGAGACGTGGCAAAAAATCACGAGGGCAATAATAGGCAAAAAGCATCAGGTGCGACTACATGTATCTCTTAAGATACTGCTCGCCCGCCCGAAAAAAGCATCAGTATCTCTTTAGATACTGCCCGCCCAAAAAAAGAACAGTACCAGGTTCAGATAGGAGGGGGTCATAAATTTCTTCTGCTCTCCACTGAAGTCGTCCCTCTCACTCTTGGGAACATCCTCCTGCCCACAAAAGGGATGAGAGGGCACAAAAGGGATGAGAGGCCATACCAGGTGCAGATAGGAGTGGTGGAAGGGGGGGGAGGGAGGGGGAGATGGGGGGTGGGTTGAAAACAAAAAGACTCCTCGAGCTGACACCTTGTAAAGTGAGAGGTGAAGTCACTCATTGAGTCGACTCAAAAAGAGGTAAAGTAGGGGTAAAGTCAGCATACACGCCTAGACTACTGCTGGTTCGCTGGCCTCCAGCCAGCCACACACACCTGTGAGTCGAGGAAGCAGTGCAGACGCAGCGAGCAGCACAAGGCCAGGCTGCGGTGGTCGTAGCAGATCGTCAGCAACTTCTTAGGATCGTAAACACATTAGTCGGCAATAGTCTACTTGCTATCGCCTATCGTGTTCTCCACGATCTCCCGAATCCAATGATATGCGCAGCTCTGCTTGAAGTTGTCAATACACACTTCAGCAATTTTCAGAATCTCAATGTTCTCAATGTTGTCCAATGTTATGATTTCCAGAATGAGCACAAGCAGTTTTATAGTCATGCAAGACACAAAATGCGATTCGTAACTTCACTTGTTTCCCAAGTAACCGCGTGCGCCTCGTTTCACCCCGAGTCGCAGACGCAACCGAACCGAATTCGGTGAACACTCCTCAAGACCGAATCTGGAACCTTCTCGAACACGCCTCGAGCTCGAACCACAATTTCCCCTCGCCAACTTCAATCTCGATGTTTCTTCTTCTCTCTCCCTCCTTCTAGCACATTTCTTCTTGATTTCTCTCCCGCTTCTCACGTCGTAGCCTCTATTCCACACCGTAGGCCGATTTCCACCGTTTCACACACGCGCTTCCATTTCGCCGTCATTCCGCCGTCGTAGATGCTTTCGCCTTAGGTTCCGTGGTTGGGCGAACCAACCCTAACAATCTCCCCTGTGGTTCGTCAACCACGAACTCCACTCGCACTCCTCCCCTGCTCCTTGTAGCCTTCGCAGGGTCTAAGTCGGCTTCACGCTCCCCTGCAGCTCCTGCACCTTGAACCGCTGCTTACGTGTCTTGAAGTTGAGCGCCTTGACATCCAAACCATGAAACATTTTCTTGAGCCTCTCGCTGCTCCTCGGCATCTCAACACTCAACACCTCTCGGGTCTCATACCCTTCAACGCGTTCATCCTCCCTAAGCACTTGCCCCTTTGCAGTTGCATTCGCCTTTGATCCTTTCACCATGATGTCCCCTTTCACAGCTTCAACTCCCACACACTTCGCATTTACTGCTTCGTCTTCAACCACGATCGCTGCTGCAAAAGTGTTGACATCATCTCCATCTCTACCATTCACTGCTGCTGCCTCCATGGCGACTATCTCCTCTTCCTGCTTCTCTGCTGCCTCCACACTCGCTCCCGTATCATCCGTGTCCTTGCTCTTATCATCCTCAGTAGGCTCAGGATCCTCATAGATCTCATCCTTGTCGTTCATCGCTATCAAGTTCATCTCATAGAAACCGTCACTGAAATAACCATCCGCATACTTCTCCCACTCAGGACCAAACACTGTAACCTCACCTGTGTCATAAAATATCCTGCACCCCAAGTCATCAAGCTGTGACTGACTGACCAAGTTCACCTCTCTATACGGACTCTGCAGCACCACCTCACCCTCTCCTGTCACTGGTAACTTCCCACTGTTACCTTGTAGTATATAATCCTCACTCGACTCCCTCACATTCTCCATCCAATCTGACCTGAATGTCATGTGACGCGTGCATCCGCTGTCCATGAACCACGCCCTCTTCTCACGTCCATCTGTCTGAGCCTCCTTCGGTAAACGCACCACGTTCGCGAGATGCGCTCCTCCCAAAATCACATCCTCCTTTTCAGCTTCCACTACATTCGCCTTTGTCGCCACATTCCTCTGCTGCGACGGACCCTTGTAGCTCATGCTGTTTGGATTGGAGTAGCACTCTGCGGCACGATGCCCGTAGCGCCCACAATAATCACACTTGCCGCCAAAACCTCGTTTCTGCTGCCACTCCGCTCCTGCATTTTCTCCTTTCTCGTTCTCCATCGCTTTGCCCTTATAGTTTCTGCTTCGAGGATTTTCGTAGCAGTTTATCGCCTTATGACCGCGCTTTCCACACTGGTAGCACGCTCCAAACGCTTTCGCCGCATTCACCAAAGCCGGCCTGTCCTCGTCGAATTCTGTAACTGCTGCTGCTGCTTTCTTTTTCCTCATCTCCTTCACCGTCTCAAGCGACTGTAGAATCTCCTGCAGCTTCATCAAACTCTCCGGCGGTTGGTACGTAAACATGCCGATGTCGGATTCGTACTCCTTAGGAAGGCCTTGGATGATATAGTCAATCATCTCATGCTCCGTCTCCGCGGCTCCCATCACCCGCAAGTCGTCGTTATAGCTTTTCGCCCTGTTGATGTAGGTGATGATTTTCTCGCCTTTCTCCATGCTCGGCATCAGCAGCTGCTTCCGAATCGCCTTCTTGTTGACGTCGTTGGTGCCCATGTACGTGGACTCCAGGTACTCCCACGCTCGCTGTGCAGAGTTCAGCTCCCCTGCAAACTGGTCCAAATCCACTGCGATTCCATCGGCAACTGAGTGACAAAGCTGAAAGAAAGCTTGCTTACTTTGCTTTTTAAACGCCGCTATTTTCTCCTTCGTGTCCGTCGTGGAAGGCGCAACTCCCTCCATCGTCTCCTCGTCGGGACGGCAGTACGGCAAGAGGTCGACCTCCTCTGCCCTTCGAATGAACTTCTTCCGCCACACGTTGTAGTTGCTCCCGTTGAAGCGCTGGGCTTCGCTGAGCCCGATCGTCGGTTTCGCCACCAATCGGCCACTCGCAAGGGCCTCGAGAAGAGCCTTCAACTGTGGGTCTCCAAGACTCACACTGGAACACGAACTCGCCTCGTCTCCCATAGCGTAGGCGTGAACGACTCCTCTTCTCCACTAATTTCACTTAGCGCACCAAGTGAATTCACGACGATCGACGCGCTCGTTCGCCAAGCTCTGATACCAGTTCTTAGGATCGTAAACGCATTAGTCGGCAATAGTCTACTTGCTATCGCCTATCGTGTTCTCCACGATCTCCCGAATCCAATGATATGCGCAGCTCTGCTTGAAGTTGTCAATACACACTTCAGCAATTTTCAGAATCTCAATGTTCTTAATGTTGTCCAATGTTATGATTTCCAGAATGAGCACAAGCAGTTATATAGTCATGCAAGACACAAAATGCGATTCATAACTTCACTTGTTTCCCAAGTAACCGCGTGCGCCTCGTTTCACCCCGAGTCGCAGACGCAACCGAACCGAATTCGGTGAACACTCCTCAAGACCGAATCTGGAACCTTCTCGAACACGCCTCGAGCTCGAACCACAATTTCCCCTCGCCAACTTCAATCTCGATGTTTCTTCTTCTCTCTCCCTCCTTCTAGCACATTTCTTCTTGATTTCTCTCCCGCTTCTCACGTCGTAGCCTCTATTCCACACCGTAGGCCGATTTCCACCGTTTCACACACGCGCTTCCATTTCGCCGTCATTCCGCCGTCGTAGATGCTTTCGCCTTAGGTTCCGTGGTTGGGCGAACCAACCCTAACAATCTCCCCTGTGGTTCGTCAACCACGAACTCCACTCGCACTCCTCCCCTGCTCCTTGTAGCCTTCGCAGGGTCTAAGTCGGCTTCACGCTCCCCTGCAGCTCCTGCACCTTGAACCTCTGCTTACGTATCTTGAAGTTGAGCGCCTTGACATCCAAACCATGAAACATTTTCTTGAGCCTCTCGCTGCTCCTCGGCATCTCAACACTCAACACCTCTCGGGTCTCATACCCTTCAACGCGTTCATCCTCCCTAAGCACTTGCCCCTTTGCAGTTGCATTCGCCTTTGATCCTTTCACCATGATGTCCCCTTTCACAGCTTCAACTCCCACACACTTCGCATTTACTGCTTCGTCTTCAACCACGATCGCTGCTGCAAAAGTGTTGACATCATCTCCATCTCTACCATTCACTGTTGCTGCCTCCATGGCGACTATCTCCTCTTCCTGCTTCTCTGCTGCCTCCACACTCGCTCCCGTATCATCCGTGTCCTTGCTCTTATCATCCTCAGTAGGCTCAGGATCCTCATAGATCTCATCCTTGTCGTTCATCGCTATCAAGTTCATCTCATAGAAACCGTCACTGAAATAACCATCCGCATACTTCTCCCACTCAGGACCAAACACTGTAACCTCACCTCTGTCATAAAATATCTTGCACCCCAAGTCATCAAGCTGTGACTGACTGACCAAGTTCACCTCTCTATACGGACTCTGCAGCACCACGTCACCCTCTCCTGTCACTGGTAACTTCCCACTGTTACCTTGTAGTATATAATCCTCACTCGACTCCCTCACATTCTCCATCCAATCTGACCTGAATGTCATGTGACGCGTGCATCCGCTGTCCATGAACCACGCCCTCTTCTCACGTCCATCTGTCTGAGCCTCCTTCGGTAAACGCACCACGTTCGCGAGATGCGCTCCTCCCAAAATCACATCCTCCTTTTCAGCTTCCACTACATTCGCCTTTGTCGCCACATTCCTCTGCTGCGACGGACCCTTGTAGCTCATGCTGTTTGGATTGGAGTAGCACTCTGCGGCACGATGCCCGTAGCGCCCACAATAATCACACTTGCCGCCAAAACCTCGTTTCTGCTGCCACTCCGCTCCTGCATTTTCTCCTTTCTCGTTCTCCATCGCTTTGCCCTTATAGTTTCTGCTTCGAGGATTTTCGTAGCAGTTTATCGCCTTATGACCGCGCTTTCCACACTGGTAGCACGCTCCAAACGCTTTCGCCGCATTCACCAAAGCCGGCCTGTCCTCGTCGAATTCTGTAACTGCTGTTGCTGCTTTCTTTTTCCTCATCTCCTTCACCGTCTCAAGCGACTGTAGAATCTCCTGCAGCTTCATCAAACTCTCCGGCGGTTGGTACGTAAACATGCCGATGTCGGATTCGTACTCCTTAGGAAGGCCTTGGATGATATAGTCAATCATCTCATGCTCCGTCTCCGCGGCTCCCATCACCCGCAAGTCGTCGTTATAGCTTTTCGCCCTGTTGATGTAGGTGATGATTTTCTCGCCTTTCTCCATGCTCGGCATCAGCAGCTGCTTCCGAATCGCCTTCTTGTTGACGTCGTTGGTGCCCATGTACGTGGACTCCAGGTACTCCCACGCTCGCTGTGCAGAGTTCAGCTCCCCTGCAAACTGGTCCAAATCCACTGCGATTCCATCGGCAACTGAGTGACAAAGCTGAAAGAAAGCTTGCTTACTTTGCTTTTTAAACGCCGCTATTTTCTCCTTCGTGTCCGTCGTGGAAGGCGCAAATCCCTCCATCGTCTCCTCGTCGGGACGGCAGTACGGCAAGAGGTCCACCTCCTCTGCCCTTCGAATGAACTTCTTCCGCCACACGTTGTAGTTGCTCCCGTTGAAGCGCTGGGCTTCGCTGAGCCCGATCGTCGGTTTCGCCACCAATCAGCCACTCGCAAGGGCCTCGAGAAGAGCCTTCAACTGTGGGTCTCCAAGACTCACACTGGAACACGAACTCGCCTCGTCTCCCATAGCGTAGGCGTGAACGACTCCTCTTCTCCACTAATTTCACTTAGCGCACCAAGTGAATTCACGACGATCGACGCGCTCGTTCGCCAAGCTCTGATACCAGTTCTTAGGATCGTAAACGCATTAGTCGGCAATAGTCTACTTGCTATCGCCTATCGTGTTCTCCACGATCTCCCGAATCCAATGATATGCGCAGCTCTGCTTGAAGTTGTCAATACACACTTCAGCAATTTTCAGAATCTCAATGTTCTCAATGTTGATAGCGGAGAGGCAGAGGGCGGCATGAGATTCCTATTATGCCCGTATGCCTATTTTCCCTCTCGCAACCCCTCTCCTTCATCCCACCACACAGGACCTGCGCCAGGAACTGACAGGCATGCGGCAGCAGCTGATAGCGGAGAGGCAGAGGGCGGCAACGGCTACTGGAGGCAAGGAGGCTGTTGAGAAGCAGCTGGCAGCGGTGCAGGCAAAGCTGAAGGTGGGTGGGGCAAGGGGGAGGGGGAAGCTCTGAGTGAAGAATGATTGGTGGTAGGTGCATTTGAAAAGTGGGTGGAGAGTAGGCAAGGCGAGTCTGCGTTTCCTTTCTTTTGTTTTTTGCTTGTAAACTGCTTTCATGGTGTTCCTTTTTTTTTTCTTCTTCTTCTTCTTCTTCTTCTTCTTCTTCTTATTTTTCTTCTTCTTCTAACTTCAGGAGGCATTGGAAGCAGAGGAGAGGCTCAAGATCCATGCCAAGGTGGAGGTTTGACAAGAGGTGGAAGGGGACCTCAGGTCCGACATCGAGGCTGAGGTTCAGCAGAAGCTGGAAGCGGAGGTTCGGGAAGCAGCTGAGGCTGAGACTCGGAAGAAAATGGAATCCGAGGTTCGGCAGGACGTCGAGGGGAAGGTTCGGAAAGAGCTTGAAACGGAGGTTCGGGAGAAGTTGAAGGCAGAGGTTCGGGAGGAGCTAGGAGCAGAAGCTGGGAGAAATGCTGTGGAGGTCTTAAAGCCCAGCAGTCAAGGATCGGTGGGATCGGTAGATGTGGGAACTCAAGTGATATCTGTGAGCGAGGAGGCTCGGAAAGAGATTGAAGCAGCCGCTGTAGCTCGGATGCGACAGGAAATGGAAGAAGAGATTCGGAAGGAGCTTCGGAACGAGTTTGAGAAGCAGATTTGGGAAGAGGTGACTGAGAAGGTTCGGGAGGAGGTGCGGAAGGAGGTAGAATTGGAGTTGAAAAAGTCTAAGGGCGATTCTGAGGGTGCTTCGACTGCTGCTGCTGCTGGTGGAGCTGGTGGTGGAGTTACGGTTGAGAGTGGTGGAGAGGGTGTAGGGGACAATGAGAGAACGGAGGTGGAGGGTAAAGGTGAAGATGTGGGAGGTGGAGGAGAAAGAGAAGGAGCAGGAGCAGGGGCAGGAGAAGGGGCAGGAGCAGGGATCGGAGAAGGGGTGGGAGCAGGGGCAGGAGCAGGGGGGGGAGAATTGGCGGGAGCAGGGGGAGGAGAGGCAAGTGAAGCAGTGGGGCAGTCTACTGAAGAGCTTGCACGATTGAAGGTAATTTGCCATTCCTTTCTTCCCCGCTCTAATGGCTGCCTGGTTCTTATTACGCTCGCACGCATGCAATGGGACGAGTTCTGAGTCTTCGTTTTGGACTCTCTCAAGAGTTTTGCTTGGGCGCATTCAGACTCAGCTTGTCTGCTGGGTTCTCAAGTCATAGAAAAGCTCTACATGCGGAGTGAAACTTTTGGATTTCAAGAAAAAATACAATTCCGGAAGTCATTTCTGCATCTCACCGCTGGAGTACGGGGGGAGAGAGCAGAGGCGAAGTCGGGGGCTTTAATGCAGGACCAAGCTAAGGCTTAAGGTTCCGCTTCTGCCTTTTTCTGCTTCTGCTTCTGCTGCACCCATGGCCATGGCAGGAGGACGCGGAGAAAGCAGAGGAGGAGCGGGGTCAGCTGCAGCAGCAGTTGGAGAAGCTACAGGTGTCGCTGGCTAAGAAGGAGAAGGCACGGCTGAGACTGCTGTCTGAGGTGAGTGCTCCTTCAGGCAAGGTGTGTCATGCAGTTGAGTTATGCAGCAGCAGCAGTTGGAGAAGCTGCAGGTGTCTCGGCTCGGGCTAAGGAGAAGGCACTGTTGAGACAGCTGTCTGAGGGTAACGATTGAGACTGCTGGCTGTCTGAAATGTGTGCTCCTCTAACCGAGGGGATGTTTTAGTTGACACAGCAGTGGAGACGGTGACCTAAGTTGACTTTTGAGACGTCTCAAAAGTTTGACACAGCAGTAGAGACGGTGACCTAAGCTGGCTGCAGCAGTTTGTGAAGCTGCTGGATGCTTGCAGAGGCCCAGCATCGCTTTTTCCAATCACATTCTGTACTCATCGCTTCCTGGATTGTACTATTTATATCACAACCATCCCATTCCTGCTGTCCGTCCACGAACGCCCTTCAGGTGGATTCCCAGTCGCTGCAGATAGAGAGACTATTCGCGGAGAATTCAGGGCTGGCAGCGGGGCTCAAGGAGGTCTCTGCCATTGCCGCCCGCTGGGAGGCTCAGGTGAATGCAACAAGGCACTCAGGTGGGAACAACAGAGGCTCAGGCTGGGGCAATAGAGACTCAGGTGGGGACAACAGAGGCTCAAGCAGGGGCAATAGAGACTCAGGTGGGGACAACAGAGGCTCAGGTGAGTGCAGCAGTAGCTTAGGTGGTGAGTGCAACAGAAACTCAATCTCAGGTCTGTGAAAGTAGCAAATTGAACAAGTAGCTTCATTAGAGGAGAAACCTAGCAAACATGGTTGGAAGAGAGGCTTGGAAGAGAAAGGTGAAGGTGACCATAGGTTGGGTTGACCTCACTTGGGGGAGTGAGGCAACCATGGGTCAAGTGGGTTGGGTTGCCCACAGTTTGTAGAAGTGAGGCAACCCTAGGCCCACTTGGCTTGAGATGACCTCACTTGTGGGAAGTGAGGCACCCATAAGCCAAGTGGGTTGCATTTGGGGGCTCCACCACAATTGGGTGGATTGGCACCCCAAAGTGCAACCCTAAACCCTAAACCCAGCTGTACACCACAATTGGTGTACAGTCACATGTGTTGGCATGCTACACAACATATATTTTAACAAGGTCCGTGCAGCAGAGGCTAATAAAAAAAAAAAAAAAAAAAAAAAAAGGGTGGTGAGAGCAACTGGGGCTCTGGTATAATGCAACAGAGCGCAACAAAGAAGACTTGTCGTTTTTCTTTTCACTGACCACCTCTGCCAGTCAAGCCATAATAGACTGCGACTTTGCCATGACGTTTTCCCTGCTGTTTTATTGGTGTTTTACCCAACTGGTTTGTGGTGTATCCATACTTTCTTCGTTTACCCACTTTTGTTACGTCCTTTATTTCCAACATATTGCGCCCGTCGTCCCTTTTCTTCCTCCACGTTTTATATTTATAAATATGTGCATAATTCGAAAGACCATAGAGTTTAAGTGTTTGTCAACCCAAAAACTCGCTGCGAAAGTTGCAGTTTGTTTTTTTATTCCGAGAAACTCACTAAGACTTTTCAAAAACACACTAAGAAACATCAGAAGCGCACTAATATTTCTCAAGAGAACAATAAGAATTCTAAAAAACACCTCGTAAGCCCATGTAGATTACTACCAGTCAACCCAAAAGCTCGTTGCGACAGTTTTCCCCTTGTCCTTTCCTTCCGCTTCCGCTTTCAGGTGCGCGCATGGCAGAAGCTGCAGAGCGAGCAGCAGCAGGAGCAGATGGACAGCGGCAAAGGGGCAGCAACAGCAGCAGGTGCAGCAGCAGGAGCAGGAGCAGCAGCAGGAGCAGGAGCAGCAGCAGGAGCAGCCTCATCAGCAGAAAAGGCAGGAGCAACAGGGGAGTTATCAGGAGAAGAGAAAGGAGGGGTGGGAGGAACAGGAGCAGCAGCAGGAGGAGTAAGAGCATCAGGGGCGGTGGGTCCGGGGTTAGGAGACACGGACACAGAGGCAGACACGGATGATCAAGAGCTGCCAGTCTCCACCTCCCCCAGACAGCACCTGGAGCTGCCACCAGTAAACACCTCCCCCAGGCAACTTCTGGAAGTGCCACCGTTTTCTGGTGCTGGGACCTCAGCAAGTGGGGAAGAGAATGGGGAGGTGGTGGTGGGTCTGCAGGGGGATGGCGTGAAGATGGAGGGGTCAGGAGCGGTGGAAGGTGGTGGAGAGGAAAAGGCAGGGAAGGAGGATGGGGAGAAGGAGGAGGTCGGGGATGGGGCTAGAGGTGGGGAGGATGGGGGAGTGGGACAGAGGAGGGGAGTGGGTGTGGAGGTGATTGGAGGGAAGTCTATGGAAGTTCTGGAGGAAGAGAACAGGAAGCTTAAGGTGAGACAAGGGAAAGTTAAATAAGCGTTCGGAAAATTGCCTGTTGAAATGAACAAAGTGCCACGCAATGGAAGTTTTGGAGGAAGAGAACAGGAAGCTTAAGGTGAGACAAGGGAGGTCGAGTAAGCGTTTGACTAAGTGTTTTCAAAATGAGCTAAGTGTTTAGCTCGATGGAGGTGCTAGTGGAAGCCAACAAGAAGCTCAAGGTGAGAAAAGCGGAACTTACTTAAGTGTTTCAATCAGCTATTTCTCTGGGAGTTTTGAAGGTGCTGATTGAAGAGAGCTTGGAGCTCAAGGTCCTAGGCAGTGATAGTGGAGATTGGTAATTACCTTGATACCATCTTTGTACCATAATGATACCACTATGGTCTCACGCTTTTCCTTCCATCCCTTGCTCTTCTCACGCTTTTCCTTCCATCCTTTGCTCTTCTCACGCTTTTCCTTCCATCCCTTGCTCTTCTCACGCTTTTCCTTCCATCCCTTGCTCTTCTCACGCTTTTCCTTCCATCCCTTGCTCTTCTCACGCTTTTCCTTCCATCCCTTGCTCTTCTCACGCTTTTCCTTCCATCCCTTGCTCTTCTCACGCTTTTCCTTCCATCCCTTGCTCTTCTCACGCTTTTCCTTCCATCCCTTGCTCTTCTCACGCTTTTCCTTCCATCCTTTGCTCTTCTCACGCTTTTCCTTCCATCCCTTGCTCTTCTCACGCTTTTCCTTCCATCCCTTGCTCTTCTCACGCTTTTCCTTCCATCCCTTGCTCTTCTCACGCTTTTCCTTCCATCCCTTGCTCTTCTCACGCTTTTCCTTCCATCCCTTGCTCTTCTCACGCTTTTCCTTCCATCCCTTGCTCTTCTCACGCTTTTCCTTCCATCCCTTGCTCTTCTCACGCTTTTCCTTCCATCCCTTGCTCTTCTCACGCTTTTCCTTCCATCCTTTGCTCTTCTCACGCTTTTCCTTCCATCCCTTGCTCTTCTCACGCTTTTCCTTCCATCCCTTGCTCTTCTCACGCTTTTCCTTCCATCCCTTGCTCTTCTCACGCTTTTCCTTCCATCCCTTGCTCTTCTCACGCTTTTCCTTCCATCCCTTGCTCTTCTCACGCTTTTCCTTCCATCCTTTGCTCTTCTCATGCTTTTCCTTCCATCCCTTGCTCTTCTCACGCTTTTCCTTCCATCCCTTGCTCTTCTCACGCTTTTCCTTCCATCCCTTGCTCTTCTCACGCTTTTCCTTCCATCCCTTGCTCTTCTCACGCTTTTCCTTCCATCCCTTGCTCTTCTCACGCTTTTCCTTCCATCCCTTGCTCTTCTCACGCTTTTCCTTCCATCCCTTGCTCTTCTCACGCTTTTCCTTCCATCCCTTGCTCTTCTCACGCTTTTCCTTCCATCCTTTGCTCTTCTCACGCTTCTCCTTCCATCCCTTGCTCTTCTCACGCTTTTCCTTCCATCCCTTGCTCTTCTCACGCTTTTCCTTCCATCCCTTGCTCTTCTCACGCTTTTCCTTCCATCCCTTGCTCTTCTCACGCTTTTCCTTCCATCCCTTGCTCTTCTCACGCTTTTCCTTCCATCCCTTGCTCTTCTCACGCTTTTCCTTCCATCCCTTGCTCTTCTCACGCTTTTCCTTCTATCCCTTGCTCTTCTCACGCTTTTCCTTCCATCCCTTGCGCTTCTCACGCTTTTCCTTCCATCCCTTGCTCTTCTCACGCTTTTCCTTCCATCCTTTGCTCTTCTCACGCTTTTCCTTCCATCCCTTGCTCTTCTCACGCTTTTCCTTCCATCCCTTGCTCTTCTCACGCTTTTCCTTCCATCCCTTGCTCTTCTCACGCTTTTCCTTCCATCCCTTGCTCTTCTCACGCTTTTCCTTCCATCCCTTGCTCTTCTCACGCTTTTCCTTCCATCCCTTGCTCTTCTCACGCTTTTCCTTCCATCCCTTGCTCTTCTCACGCTTTTCCTTCCATCCCTTGCTCTTCTCACGCTTTTCCTTCCATCCCTTGCTCTTCTCACGCTTTTCCTTCTATCCCTTGCTCTTCTCACGCTTTTCCTTCCATCCCTTGCGCTTCTCACGCTTTTCCTTCCATCCCTTGCTCTTCTCACGCTTTTCCTTCCATCCTTTGCTCTTCTCACGCTTTTCCTTCCATCCCTTGCTCTTCTCACGCTTTTCCTTCCATCCCTTGCTCTTCTCACGCTTTTCCTTCCATCCCTTGCTCTTCTCACGCTTTTCCTTCCATCCCTTGCTCTTCTCACGCTTTTCCTTCCATCCCTTGCTCTTCTCACGCTTTTCCTTCCATCCCTTGCTACCCTTTTCCACCCTCACAGCCACCTATCTCTGCTCCTGTCTACCCGTCTCTACCCCTCTCTGAACCTCACTGCCCCTCTCTGCCCCTCTCTGCCCCTCTCTGAACCTCACTGCCCCTCTCTGCCCCTCTCTGCCCCTCTCTGAACCTCACTGCCCCTCTCTGCCCCTCTCTGCCCCTCTCTGCCCCTCTCTGCCCCTCTCTGAACCTCACTGCCCCTCTCTGCCCCTCTCTGCCCCTCTCTGCCCCTCTCTGCCCCTCTCTGCCCCTCTCTACAACAGGACGAACTCACCGCCGCCCAGCACCGCATCCGCCGGCTGTCAGTGCAGGCACTGCGCTCCGATGCCAGTTGCACCACGGCGGTGCAGAGGCTGTCCCAGACCAAGCGGATGTGAGTAGTGGCAGTGTGCTGTGCTGGTAGGGGTAGGGCAAATTTTTCAGTAGAGAGGTGGTAGTGTAGTGGTGGTAGTAGTTACGGGAAGAAGGGAGCAGAGGCACTGCGCTGCAGTGGTGCTGCACTGCCTGTCACCCAGCTGTCAGTGCACGCGCTGCGCTCCGATGCTGGCTGCACCACGGCTGCGCAGAGGCTGTCCCAGACCAATCGATTGTGTGGAGGTGTGCTGTGCTGTGCTGCTGCTGCAGGTGGTTGCTCTGCTAGTGGTGGCAGTGATGGTAGTAAGAAGGTGGATCCACTGATGCTGCCCTCCAGTGCCAGCTGCACCACGGCCGTGCAAGCTGGTGAGCACTGTGGGAGGCTCTCTCCCAGGCCAAGCGTCTGCGAGTGGTCCCAAGGCCTTGTCCTTCCATCCTACTGTTATTCCCTTTTGAGAATTCCTCGAAACAAACCCAACTCCCAACCCGTGGCACTACTTTCGCTTCTTCACCACCACACGCTCTCGCCTTGCTTCCTCCTGCCCTGCCTTACTTCCGTTCTTCCTCCATCCTTTTGTTGCTCCTTAGAAGATTCCGGGAAAGCTGGGCTCATTTTGACAAGTTTGCACCATTTTGTGTATGGGTTTCTTTCAGGTATGGCCCTCTGTTGAGCAGCATCGAGCAGAAGCTTCTCCAGTACAAGCAGGAAGCTTCCCTGCAAGGTCATGTGTGAAGCACCCTTACCCAGTAAACTACGTCAGCTACAGCATACTGGTAACTTCCCATAAAAAACACAGTCACTTTATCCCCATTCACTACTAAAACTCTCGTCTAATTTTCTTCCAAAAACAGTGATGATTTCTCAAGCCTTGCAATTCTTCCTCCATGCCAAGCCATGCTGCCCCGCTCCGAGTCTGTCCAGCAATGGTAGCTGCCGAAACCAATCCACGTCACTTAGGACCTGCCACGTCATCACAGCGCCACATCATCACATCGCACCAACCACAGTGATTTTCTGGTTATTTGGCAGTGGCCAATACCCAAGGTGAATATTTTAGACAAGCAGTTTATCTCTCCAAGAACCCCTAATTTGGCACTGGTAAATCGACAGGGGACGCCGGGATGAGGAGAGGGGGGGGACGAAAAGGGAGAGGGGGGAAACTGAATGCAGGGACGAAACGAAACAGGAGACCTAGAGGGAGGATGAGGTACCCCCCTGTCACAACCTCTTCAGTACGAGTTTGATGTTGCTGTGTCAAGTCAACCCACCTGCTGCAGCACTCGCATCTTTCCCTCCAGGCCGAGACAGCAGTTGGCATGAACAGTGACCAGCCGCCTCAGCAGCCGCCCAATCTGGCAGAAACTGCCAAAGCGGTCCGTCGGCAGGTAGTGGACGGAGAGACGGAGGGTGTCGCGGGTGTATGGGTCTGCCTCGGGGCGCACTCGCGTGAATGCATCCTGGACGTGAATGCCAGGAAAGCTGTAATGGGGGAGGGGAGTTGATTGAAGGGAGAATAACACAAGCAGTGGATAAAGAGACGGAGCGTGTCACGAGTGTATGGGTCTGCCTCGGGGCGCACTCGCGTGAATGCATCCTGGTCGTGAATGCCGGGGAAGCTGATAAGGGGTGGAAGGGGGAAGGGTGGAAGGCGGAAGGGTGGAAGGGGGAAGGGGGGAAGTGGGAAAAGGGGGATGGGGGGAAGCGTATAATGCATGGAGAGATGGGAGAGTATCACGGGTGTATGGGTCTGCTTCGGGGCGCACCCACATGAACGCATCCAAGAATCTCTTGTTTTGAGAATTCTAAAAAAAGATAGAACATTTTCTTATAGACTGTCTCAAAGATTCACTTCTTCAGGCCGCACCCGCATGAACGCATTCCTGGTCGTGAATCCCAGGGAAGGTGAACATTTTGAGACGTCTCAAAAACAACCTCGCTGCACGTGGCAATCCCAGGGAAGGTGAACATGGCTTACCGGGTGTGAGCGTTGAGCCAGTAGTCAAAGAATCGCAACACACGGTCGTTGCTGCGAGCCATGTAGAACCCGCCATTGGCTGCTGCTGCTGCTGCTGCTGCTGCCTTGGGGTCCGAAAGAGGAGAAGGTAAAGGGCTTACAGGGTGGAGGAGAGGAGAGTCTTACCGGGTGTGTGCATCGAGCCAGTAGTCAAAGAATTGCAAAACGCGGTCGTTGCTGCGAGCCATGTAGAAGCCCCCATTGGCTGCTGCCGCCTTGGGGTCTGCTGACCAGCGATCGCATGCTATGAGCATGTCGGATGAGACGGGGAGCAGGTGAGGGAGGGGGTTCTGGTGGTAGGGGGGAGAAGGAAGGAAGTACAGAATCTACTAATACGACACCCCGTCTTCTGCTTTGGGTTCGTCTGACCAGCGACCACAGGCTATTAGGATGTTGGATAAGATGAGATGGGGAGCAGAGCAGAGCAGACAAAAGAGGTCAGCAGATAAGTGGTCAGCCGAAAAGTGGTCACAGGCTGCTACGATCGACCGTGAAGTAGAAGTTGTTGTTTATATATATATATATATATATATATATATATATCTTATGTTGAGAGACATCTTAAGCGAATCTAATTGCACAAGGCGCTGGCAATTACATGCACAACTGCATCCACGTGGCGTCACTGCCACCCACCTGCATCCACATCACTGCCACCCACCTGCATCCACGTCACTGCCACCCACCTGCATCCACATGACGTCATTGCCACCCACCTGCATCGACGTCATTGCCACCCACCTGTAGCCACATGACGTCATTGTCAGTAAAGACCACATTGAGTTTTAAAGACAAGATTTGCTTGATGACATGCAGTCGTCTCCACTTCTGTACAGAGTGGGAAGGATAAAAACGAAGACACAATGAGAAGAGATGAGGAGAGATGCGGAGAGACTAGTAGAGATGAGTAGAGATGAGTAGAGATGAGTAGAGACAACGAGAGTATTTACAAGAACAGGGGGGAGTGGGCAGAGACGTGGCAAAAAATCACGAGGGCAATAATAGGCAAAAAGCATCAGGTGCGACTACATGTATCTCTTAAGATACTGCTGGCCCGCCCGAAAAAAGCATCAGTATCTCTTTAGATACTGCCCGCCCAAAAAAAGAACAGTACCAGGTTCAGATAGGAGGGGGTCATAAATTTCTTCTGCTCTCCACTGAAGTCGTCCCTCTCACTCTTGGGAACATCCTCCTGCCCACAAAAGGGATGAGAGGGCACAAAAGGGATGAGAGGCCATACCAGGTGCAGATAGGAGTGGTGGAAGGGGGGGGAGGGAGGGGGAGATGGGGGGTGGGTTGAAAACAAAAAGACTCCTCGAGCTGACACCTTGTAAAGTGAGAGGTGAAGTCACTCATTGAGTCGACTCAAAAAGAGGTAAAGTAGGGGTAAAGTCAGCATACACGCCTAGACTACTGCTGGTTCGCTGGCCTCCAGCCAGCCACACACACCTGTGAGTCGAGGAAGCAGTGCAGACGCAGCGAGCAGCACAAGGCCAGGCTGCGGTGGTCGTAGCAGATCGTCAGCAACTTCTTAGGATCGTAAACACATTAGTCGGCAATAGTCTACTTGCTATCGCCTATCGTGTTCTCCACGATCTCCCGAATCCAATGATATGCGCAGCTCTGCTTGAAGTTGTCAATACACACTTCAGCAATTTTCAGAATCTCAATGTTCTCAATGTTGTCCAATGTTATGATTTCCAGAATGAGCACAAGCAATTTTATAGTCATGCAAGACACAAAATGCGATTCGTAACTTCACTTGTTTCCCAAGTAACCGCGTGCGCCTCGTTTCACCCCGAGTCGCAGACGCAACCGAACCGAATTCGGTGAACACTCCTCAAGACCGAATCTGGAACCTTCTCGAACACGCCTCGAGCTCGAACCACAATTTCCCCTCGCCAACTTCAATCTCGATGTTTCTTCTTCTCTCTCCCTCCTTCTAGCACATTTCTTCTTGATTTCTCTCCCGCTTCTCACGTCGTAGCCTCTATTCCACACCGTAGGCCGATTTCCACCGTTTCACACACGCGCTTCCATTTCGCCGTCATTCCGCCGTCGTAGATGCTTTCGCCTTAGGTTCCGTGGTTGGGCGAACCAACCCTAACAATCTCCCCTGTGGTTCGTCAACCACGAACTCCACTCGCACTCCTCCCCTGCTCCTTGTAGCCTTCGCAGGGTCTAAGTCGGCTTCACGCTCCCCTGCAGCTCCTGCACCTTGAACCGCTGCTTACGTGTCTTGAAGTTGAGCGCCTTGACATCCAAACCATGAAACATTTTCTTGAGCCTCTCGCTGCTCCTCGGCATCTCAACACTCAACACCTCTCGGGTCTCATACCCTTCAACGCGTTCATCCTCCCTAAGCACTTGCTGACAAAATTAGAAGGAAGAAAGAGAGGATTGAACTAGCAAGAATGAGGATACAAATAGCAAACCCTAGAAGGGTTGTACTCGCTATAGAGCACCCCACTACAGGCTAGAACAATAAGATAATATTCTGACACACCCCCATAGCCAAAGTGGGGTGTAATCAGCAGTGCAGGCAAAGCAAAACAAGCTCAGGGTGGATCACAATGTCACCACACATTCTGAGCACAAGTTCAAGAAGAAATAGTTCATAGTTCACAATTATAAGCAAAACTAGTGGTGGTCACAACGGGCAAGTGAGGAGGAGGAGTGAGAGCGAGAGGAGTTGGGAGGCGACAGCTGAAGCTGCAGACACACGGGCAACAGGAGGCACACTGGCACAGCGGCTACCGGGCGACGCCCCCGGACTACTGGAGTAACTGGCCCCGCGGCTAAAGTAGCGGCAGACGAGCAACGGACCCACGGGCGGCTGGCACAGCTGGCTACGACTGGGCTACCGGGCGAAGCCCCCGGAATACAGGTGTTGCTGACGACAAACTGGCAACCTCCACTCATCCTCCCGCACACAGTCCCACCCCCCTCATACACACCCACTGCTACACCACTAGCTCTACTCCCACACACCCCCCTAGCACCACTCCTTCGTCTCCCACACACCCACCCCCCT